CTTCACCAGCATGTATCTTTCACCTTTAATTATAATAGCTACAACACAAATCGAAATTTAATCGAAATCTCTACAAATGAAGAAAAAGAAACAAAACTCACGCATTTCTGTTATTATTTAACTATGATCGAGTTTCCTTAAGTTTTAATTTCTTAAATAAATATAAAAAAGTAATACTTTTATTTTAGATATGAAAAAACTTTTTCTTTTCCTTTTTAAAATATATTTCATTAAAGTAAATTATTGTCCATTATGCAAACATTCTTTTATGTTTGCAATGTATAATTTGCTTTAATATCGGCGGTATTGATGTATACTACACTATTTTGCAGTCTCGACTATCTTTAAAGCAAAACTTCTGACAAAAAAAAAATAGTTTCTTTTTCGCGTTTCTTCACTACAAAAACCATGGAAGATTAATAAAACTCGCGTTAGTTTCAGAATGTTTCTATCAATATCGCTAATTATGGATGTGGCTGGTGGTGTCGAGGAAGTCATCAATTTCGGATGCAATAAGAGTCTGATTTCAGCGAGAAAATACAAGTTGATCAGATGGTATTGCTACAAAAAAGCGACTCGCGACTTGTTGATGGCTTTATTCTCGAGAGAAACCCTGGCCACGCATAGTTTAACAGGAAAAGGTGGCTACAATAGACGTGATAGGAATTTACCTCCGAGACCGCAGTTGGACGCTAAGATAATAGAGGATTTTATTTTCATAGTTGTAACGAAATGCAATGTCAAAGATTTTTCTTTGATTCGCCTCGCAATCTCGCATAAATGTGCAACCGAGTACAAAATGTATAAGAAACGTATGATGAAGGGGAGCGTGAAAATTGAAAAAGAAAATTAATTAATAATCGAAAAAAAGATTCAAAGATATTTATGAGGTAATGTATTTTGATAATGGTTTTAATAAATGAAATCTATTGTATATAGAATAATTAAAACATGTTTTTAACGATATTTATAAAGATTTGTATTGTATTTTACATATGTTTTTAATAAATAAAATCTATTTTAAATGAAATTTTACATATCTTTTATTATTATTCCCAACAATAATTACTTCAAATTTAATATATAAACAAAAATTTTCAGTAATATCTAAAAAAAAATTAAGTTAAAATTTTTTACTAAACTGAAAAATTTCAAAAAAAAAATAAATTTTAATTGAGTAAAATGATCACAAGTCTTATAATGCTTACGGTTGAATTCCAGGTAACTCACCTACAAATTGCTATGATGTTTACATTGAACTAAAGAAACTACAACAAACAACAAAAAAGAGGAATTAGTACACTTATTTCGAAAAAAAAATATAATTCTAATTTACCTCATTTGTCAATTATAAAAAGCATAAAATAAATTCAATAAATTTGTTAATTATTTCTTAAATAAAACGACATTTAGTATACTAATTCAATCGTTATGAAAACGTGCAAATTCATGTTAATATTGCAGGAAACTAACTGAATTTTGCAATGTTTACGTGCGAGATTTGGGAAAGGAAAACAAATTTTTTGTGAATAATTTTACTAAAAAAGAAAGTCTCAAAGATTGATATGAAATTAGGTTTATAAACTGAATTTGACCGATTTTCATTGTACTATTTCAGTGACTAAATTTCAATAGAATAATTGTGCTTTTAAAGTAGAATTTTGGTTTGAAAATCTCAAAACACAAACAAGAAATCTACAAAAATTAAATAACATAAATTATCGATTTTTTGCTTTGAAAATCTTGAAAATATTTCATTGTCCAGCTTCAATCAGTCCGGATTCGCATAAATACGCTTCGAAAGTCTTAAAACAACTAAATTTTAAGTGATTGACAAAACATAAAAAAGAAATTCTGAAAAAAAAATGGTAAAAATAAAAAATTGATACAAAAATTATTGTAAACTTTTGCGCTACATATCAAATTCGCATTTGAAATCAAATAAAATGAATTACTCGGATACTAGACAACTTAGGATTTCCTCTCTATAAATTTATTAAATTAAATTTAATGTTTTTTTTTTTTTGGAATTTAATCAAAATATTTATCGTAATTTTGTCTGTTTCATAGCGAACGGAGGTGAGTGTGAATGTAACTTTTTTTGCTTAAATAATCGATAAATTCGTCTTTTTCGTAGAAGAACCTTACGGCAAATTTGTGAAGAGAGCGAGTGAGTAGATTCCAATAGATCGAAAATATTTATCGTAATTTGAAACTTCTTTTCGCAGAATATGACCGAGAAACGTGTAAGTATTTTTTACATTTTTTTTATGTACGTTTCTTTTTCTGTTATAACAAATCAAAATATTTCTCAGAATTTGGTAAATTTGAGAGAAATGAAGAGAAATAATGGGTGAGTGAATTTACTTTTTCTTTTGGAATTTAATCAAAATATTTATCGTAATTTTGTCAGTTTCATAGCGGACAAAGGTGAGTGTGAATTTAACTTTTTTTTTTTGTTTAAACAAGCGATAATTTCGTCTTTTTCGTAGAAGAACCTTACGGGAAATTTGAGAAGAGAGCGAGTGAGTAGATTCGAATAGATCGGAAATATTTATCGTAATTTGAAACTTCTTTTCGCAGAATATGACCAAGAAATGCGTGAGTATTTTCTGTTCGGAAACCGAGAAATATTTACAGTGATTTTTGGTTTTGTTGAAATGAACTTTAACGAAAATATTTTTTTGTCCAACGAATGTCCAGATGTTAAATATACTTTTTCTTGTTTACATTTAAATATTTTTCTCATTTCTTTTTTGTTCACAGCAGCAATTAAATGTTGTCATCGCGAATATTTGTTGTTGCGTTATATTAGATCAGCGAAGAAGTATCATTGTGTGGCTAAATGCGTGAGCATTGTTCGACACCGTCCGTCCGCCCAGATTAAGATAAATGATAAATTATACATTCACGTTCATAAGAAAGAAGTTAATTTATGCACTGTACTTGAGTTGTCAGGTAAACTCAATGCTTTTATTGTGTATAAACTTATACACATTCGTTTACATTTCTATATTTTGCAGATGATTTTGAAGAACTTGAAGACCTGTTGCCTTTGAATCCGTGTTCCAAATCGTTGGGGTACGTTAGACGGGCCACGGAGTCCAACGGAACTAGATATTACACTTTGGGACCGAACAAAACACCGATCACACCTTTAATGTTGTGTTGCATCGATTGGGATTCCGCTGAGCTCGCAATTCAAAGTTTACTTTATATTGTGTTCGGCGAGAAAGCCATCGCCACTAAATGTCTTCGAGGATTGGATTCGAATAAATTGCAAGATGTAGTTCACGTTGTTAGCGAGGAAAGGAACACCAAATACGACAAAGTGATGGCTCTGGTTATAAAGAAGTTGAGGATTGATAAGGAGCGCTATAGAACGCGTAATATTAAGAAATGGGAGCGTTAGTGTCTCAATCCATATGTTTTATATCGTCATTTTAAATTTTTAATAAATTTATGCAATTTTCGTCGATTATTCTTTATTTTTATCGTACAAATTTCTTAAATTTTATTTAAAAATCCATAAACTTCATTTCTATACTAATCTGTGTGTAAATTTTAGTTTTTTTTTTGTAATATAAAATTTTGATATTTTTCATGAAATATTTTGAAATATTCACAATTTTTACATATTTTCACAGTTTTATTTTTGAATATTATATAAATACTATTGGGAATGAAAATGATAAATCAATCACGAAAAAATAATGCGGTTTGTACAAATTATACGATTTGCAAAAAAATTACTAACGTTATTTTTAATTTTAATAAAGACACATATTTTATATATTATTTTCGTCGATTCTTCTTTACTTTTATCGTTCAAATTACTTAAATTTAATTTAAAAATCCATAAACTTCATTTCTATACTAATCTGTGTGTAAATTTTAGTTTTTTTTTGTAATATAAAATTTTGATATTTTTCATGAAATATTTTGAAAAATTCACAATTTTTACATATTTTCACCGTTTTATTTTTGAATATTATATAAATACTTATTGGTAATGAAAATGTTAGAACATTCACGAAAAAATAATGCGTTTTATACAAATTATACGATTTGCAAAAAATTACTAACGTTATTTTTAATTTTAATAAAGACAGATATTTTATATATTATTTTCATCGGTATTTCTTTTCCTTTTATTGTTCAACTTTCTTTAATTTGATTTAAAAAAACTTAAACTTCATTTCTATACTAATCTGTGTGTAAATTTTAGTTTTTTTTTGTAATATAAAATTTTGATATTTTTCATGAAATATTTTGAAAAATTGATTTTTCACAATTTTTTTACATATTTTCACTTTCATTTCATTTTTCATTTTTGATTATTATATTAATACTATTGGAAATGAAGATGTTAAAACATTCACGAAAATATAATACGTTATACACATAAAATACGATTTGCAAGAAAAAGTTAAAGGATAAAAAGAAATACTCAACAAATACTAAATTATATGCTGAAATATCATGCATAGTGTGACTTCGATCAGTGCTGATTCTATATAGTCCGGTTTGAAAATCTTAAAACACAAACAAACAAAAATCTACAAAAAAATATTTTTTTTTATATATTAAAAATTATTGGTTTTTCGCTTTGAAAAACGCAAGACAAAACTAAATTTTCAATTGAAATCAAATTTAATTGGATTCTCTATAGTCCGATTTGAATAGTCCTGTTTCAATCAGTCCGGATTCTCTATAACACGTGTTGAAAGTGTTATAACCAAATCGAATTTTATGACAAATTTATCGTATTTTTTTCTTCAATTTTCTTTCTGTAAAAGCTTCAAAAGATCTCAATTAGACCGATTTTTTTACGTAACCGATTAACTAAATTGTATGCCGAAATAGCACACATAGTGCGGCTTCGATCAGTGCTGATTTACCATAGTACGGTTTGAAAATCTTAAAACACAAACAAACAAAAATCTACACAAAAAATATTTTTTTATATATGAAAAATTATTGGTTTTCCGCTTTGAAAAGCGCGAGACAAAACTAAATTTACAATTGAAATTGAATTTCATTCGATTCTCTATAGTCTGGTTTGGATAGTCCTGTTTCAATCAGTGCGGATTCACTATAACACTTGTTAAAAGTCTTATAACCAAATCGAATTTTATGACAAATTTATCGTATTTTTTGTCTCGATTAGACCGGATTTTTTACGTAACCAATTAACCAGATTATGACACGCATTTCCGTACTGAATGAAACGAAATTATTCGTTAAAATAAATGTAATGAATTCTACGATTTTTCAATAACATTTATTCAAATCTTTGCATTTTTACACACAGTCTGTTTTATTCGTACAGAGAGATAAAAATTTATCGAGAACTATTTTTTTTTTGTTGTTGTTGCTGCAAAATATCGCGATGCAAACTGCAAAATAAACGTGGCACATATCAAAACGAACGACGTTAACGTGCACACTTTGGCATTTCGAACAATAAAAATATTGGAATTGAAATAAATTGAATTTATTTATAATTGACAAATATTTTAACTTGTTAGATTTTCGTTTCTGTAATTCTGTTCGATTTTATTTTAATTACAATAAATGGGTTAGTAAATTTCACTATTTCATTTTTTTTTGTTTTCTCTCTCTTTCTTTTCGGGTTTTGAATTTTGAATCGAAATATTTATCGTGATTTCTTTCGCTTTTCGCAGGGGATTCAAATCAAAACCGAAAGACAAAATTGGTAGCACAATCACACAGCAAATATGAGAAACGAGCGAGTGAGTAAAGTCCAACTTATTTGGTTCAATTCGTAGAAATAGTTATATTAATTCTATCCCTTTTTTTTATAGGAATTACCAATAGAAATGAACAAAGAACAGGTGAGTAATTTTCACTTTTTTTTTAAATAAATTAAAACTATTTGTTTCGTAGCCCTCACGAAAAAGGCTAGGAAAAAAGGTGAGTAAATTTCACTTACTTTCAATTTTAATGAATCGAAAATATTTGTGCATGAATTCGTTAGCAAATTCAAGTGAATGGAACAGAAAAACTGATGAGCAAATTGCACTTTTTGTTTTGTTTTTATAAAAACATAATATTTATACTAAATTGTGTGTGTGTTTTTTTTTTCGTAGCAACTACGAAAAAACGTAGAAACGCCGAACAAACAGGTGAGAAAATTTCACTTTTCTTTCTTGTTTTAAATGAAAATATTTCTTATAATTTTACTGTGTTTTTTTTTTCGTAGCAAGTACGAGCCAAAGTGCATCAACTTCAGGTGTAGGTGAGGAGACAAATTATGTGTAAATTCCAAGTTATTTTCAATTTTTTACTAATTTGTCTTTTTCGTAGCAACTACGAACAAATACGTCGAAATGAAAGGTGAGAAAATTTCAATTTGTTGGTAAATTATCGTAATTTTGCGTTTTTTTTCGTAGCAACTTCAAGCAAATGTGTCCAGAAAATGGGTGAGAAATTTTCATTTCTTTTAAATTCTGAAACTTCAAATGAGCAAGCGAATGTGAGCAAACAAATAGGTGAGAAAATTTTAAGTTTTCGAAAAAAAAAATCAAAATAATTCGTCGTTTTTCGTAGCAACTTCAAGTGGATGCGACGAAAGAAATTGTGAGTAAATTACAAGTTTTCTTTGTTCTTATTTCAATAAAACGAAATGTTTGTACTAATTTGCCTCTTTTTTTTCGTTGCAAATTTGAATGAAGTTGACGATCCAATGGGTGAGTAAATTTCGTTTTCTTGTTTCAAATCAACATATTTATACTAATTTGTCATTTTCGTAGCAAATTCAAGTGAATCTGATGAGTCTGATGAATCTGATGATTCAATGAGTGAGTTTTTTTTTTGTTTAATGAAAATATTCACACTAATTAGTTTTCTTTTAGCATCTTCAAGTGAAAGCGAAGAATATAATTGTGAGTAAATACCAAGTTTTTTTTTCTCGTTTTAATGCGTCAATTTTGTTTTTTCGTAGCAAATTCAAGTGAATCTGACGAAGAAGTAGGTGAGAAAATATCACATTCCACTTTTTTGAATCAAAATATTTATAGTAAACTTGTCTGTTTCGTAGCAACTTCGAACAAATACGTGGAACAAATGGGTGAGAAAAGTTCTGTTATTTTCAATCAAAATATTTTTACTAATTTGTCTTTTTCGTAGTAAATTCAAGTGAATCTGATGAAACGATAAGTGAGTAAACTCTTTTGTAATCAACATATTTATAGGAAATTTATCTTTTTTTCGTAGCATCTTCAGGTGAATGCAAGAAAAGTAGAAGTAAGTAAATTCCAAACTTTTTCTTTAATTACGTTTAATGCATCGATTTTTTGTTCGTAGTAAATTCAAGTGAATCCGACGAACAAGTAGGTAAGAAAATTTCATTTCCTTGCTTTAAATCAAAAAATATTTATAATAAATGTTTCATTTTCGCAGCAAGTTCGACTGAATACGTCGAAAAAACAGGTAAGAAATTTTCAGTTTTCAAAAAAAAAATCAAGTATATTTTGTCTTTTTCATAGAGAATTGTGAATCTTCAGGTGAAGACGAGGAACGTAATTGTGAGTAAATACCAAGTTTTTTTTTTTCCGTTTTAATGCGTCAATTTTGTTTTCTTTTTCTTAGCAAATTCGAGTGAATCTGAGGAACATGTAGGTGAGAAAATTTCATTTTTTTGTTTCAAATCAAAAAATATTTATGGTGAATTTGTCTTTTTCTTAGCATCTTCGACCAGACGTGTCGTAATAACAGGTGAGATTTTTCCTGTTTTCAAAAAAAAAAATATTCACACCGATTTGTTTGTTTTCGTAGTAAATTCATGTGAAACTGAATCTTCAGATGAATGCGAGGAATCTAGTTGTGAGTAAATACCAAGAATTTTAGTTTTAATAAAAAAAAAATCTTTTTGTTGTTTTTTGTAGCAAATTCAAGTGAATCTGACGAACGAACAATAGGTGAGAAAATTTCCATTTTCTTGTTTTAAAACAAAAGTTTTATGGTGAATTTGTCTTTTTCGTAGCAACTTCGACCAATAACGTCGAAAAATCAGGTGAGAAAAGATATTTTTTTTTTTAGTTTTGCAAAAAATCAAAACATTTATGGTAAAATTATCTGTTTAGAGGCAACTTCGAGCGTATGCGTCGACGAAACAGGTGAGAAAAGTTCTTTTTTTTTAAGTTTTCCAAAAAAAAGATCAACTTTTGTCGTTTTCGTAGCAAATTCAAGTGAATCTGAATCTTCGAGTGAAGACGAGGAACCTGATTGTGAGTAAATTTCAAGTTTTTTTTTTCGTTTAAATGAACATTTCTTTTCGTAGCAAATTCAAGTGAATCTGACGAACCAAACGGTGAGAAAATTTCATTTTCGATTTTCCAAATCAAAAAATATTTATACTAATTTGATCTTTTTTCGTAGAATCTTCAAATAAATGCGAAGAAAGAAATTGTGAGTTAACTTCAAGTTTTTTTTACCCTTTAGATCCAAAATATTTAAACTAATTTGTCTTTTTTCGTAGCAAATTCAGGTGACTCCGATGAATATATAGGTGAGTAAATTTCATTGTCCACTGTTGAATCAAAATATTCAAATCTGTCTTTTTTTCGTAGAATCTTCAAATGAATATCAGGAAGCAAATTGTGAGTAAATTTCAATTTTTTTTTTTTGTTTAAGATAAAAATGTTCATACTAATATGTCAATTTCGTAGCAACTTTGAATGATCGCGAGGAGAAATGTGAGTAAACTTCAGTTTTTGTAAACAAATGAAAATATTCATACCAACCGTTTTCTTTTTTGTAGCATCTTCGAGTGACGAAGAAATTAAAAGTGAGTAAATTTCACTTATTTTTGAAAATATTCATACTAATTTGTTTCATTCGTAGCAATTCTGATGAGAAATATGCGAAAATGTAAGAAAATTTATTATATTAAAGTTTTATACCCATTTTTTGATTATTTTAAGGAATCAAAATATTTATACTCATTTGTTTTTTTTTTGTTTTTCATAGCAACTTCCAGCGAATCTGATGAAGAATGTAAGTAATTTTTGTTTTGTTTTAACGATTCAAATTGTTTTTTTGTTTTGTTTTCCATAGCAACTTCCAGCGAATCTAATGAAGAACGTGAGTCATTTTTGTTTTTATAAAACAAATGTTTTATATCAATTGTTTTTCTTTCGTAGCAACTTTGAGTAAATCTAAGAAAATAAAGCGTGAGTAAATTTCAATAAACTTTTTTTTCTTAATTTGCTTTTTTTTTGTTTTCATAGCAACTACCTCCGATTCTGATGAAGAATGTGAGTAATTTTTGTTTTGTTTTAACGATTCAAATTGTTTATACCAATTGTTTTTTGTTGTTGTTTGTAGCAACTTCCAGCAAATCTAGTGATGAACGTGAGTTATTTTTGTTTTTACAAAACAAATGTTTTATAACAATCGTTTTTTTTTTCATAGCAACTTCGAGTAAACCTAAGAAAATGAAGCGTGAGTAAATTTCAATATATTTTTTTTGCAAATTTGTTTATTTTGTTTTGTTTTTTGTTTTTATAGCAACTACCTCCGATTCTGATGAAGAATGTGAGTAATTTTTGGTTTAACAATTCAAATTTTCTATAGCAATTGTTTTTTTTTGTTGTTTTTCGTAGCAACTTCCAGCGAATCTAGTGATGAACGTGAGTCATTTTTGTTTTTGTTTTTACAAAACAAATGTTTTATAACAATTGTTTTCTTTCGTAGCAACTTTGAGTAAATCTAAGGAAATGAAGCGTGAGTAAATTTCAATACAACTTTTTTTGCTAATTTCTTTAATTTGATTTTTGTTTGTTTTCATAGCAACTACCTCCGATTCTGATGAAGAATGTGAGTAAATTTTGTTTTGTTTTAACGATTCAAATTGTTTTTTTGTTTTGTTTTCCATAGCAACTTCAAGCGAATCTAGTGATGAACGTGAGTCAATTTTGTTTTTACAAAACAAATGTTTTATATCAATTTTGTTTTTCTTTCGTAGCAACTTTGAGTAAACCTAAGAAAATGAAGCGTGAGTAAATTTCAATATAACTTTTTTTTCTTAATTTGTTTAATTTGTTTTGTTTTTTGTTTTCATAGCAACTAAATCAGATTCTGATGAAGAATGTGAGTAATTTTTGTTTTAACGATTCAAATTGTTTATACCAATTGTTTTTCTGTTTTGTTTTCTATAGCAACTTCCAGCGAATCTAGTGATGAACGTGAGTCATTTTTGCTTTTGTTTTTACAAAACAAATGTTTTATATCAATTGTTTTTCTTTCGTAGCAACTTTGAGTAAATCTAAGAAAATGAAGCGTGAGTAAATTTCAATATAACTTTTTTTTTCTTAATTTGTTTAATTTGTTTTGTTTTTTTTTGTTTTCATAGCAACTACCTCCGATTCTGATGAAGAATGTGAGTAATTTTTGTTTTGTTTTACCTTTCAAATTGTTTATACCAATTGTTTTTTTTTTGTTGTTTTTCGTAGCAACTTCCAGCGAATCTAGTGATGAACGTGAGTCATTTTTGTTTTTGTTTCTACAAAACAAATGTTTTACACCAACTGTTTTTTTTTCATTCGTAGCATCTTTGACTAAATCTAAGGAAACAAAGCGTGAGTAAATTTCAATATTATTTTTATTCTTAATTTAAGAAATCAAAATATTTACATCAATTTCTTTCATTTTTTGTTTGTTTTCATAGCAGATACATATGAAACTGTTGAAGAATGTGAGTAATTTTTGTTTTCTTTTAAGAATTCCAATTATTTATACCAATTGTTTTTTGTAGCAACTTCCGGTAAATGTGAGTATTTTTTTGTTGTTTGTTTGTTTGTTTTTGTTTTAACAAATCAAATGTTTTAAACCAATTTTTTCATAGCATCTTTGAGTAATTAAATTTCAATTTATTATTTTTATTAATTTATAAGGGATCTAAGTGTTTACATTAATTTGTTTTTTTTTCTTGTTAGTTTTCGTAGCAACTTGCCATAAATCTGATGAAGAATGTGAGTAAATTTTGTTTTGTTTTAACGATTCAAATTGTTTATACCAATTGTTTTTTTTTTTGCTTTGTTTTCCATAGCAACTTCCAGCGAATCTAGTGATGAAAGTGAGTAGTAATTTTTGTGTGCACAAATCAAATGTTTTATAACATTTTGTTTTTTATTTTCGTTGCATACTCATTTTTGTTTTGTTATTGTTATTGGAACGAGTGGAATTTTTTTTTGCTAATTTGTTTAATTTGATTTTTGTTTTCGTAGCAACTACCTCCGATTCTGATGAAGAATGTGAGTATTTTTTGTTTTGTCTTAACGATTCAAATTGTTTATACCAATTGTTTTTTTTTTTGCTTTGTTTTCCATAGCAACTTCCAGCGAATCTAGTGATGAACGTGAGTCATTTTTGTTTTTATCAAACAAATGTTTTATAACAATTGTTTTTTTTTGTCGTAGCAACTTTGAGAAAACGTAAAAAAGCGAGACGTGAGTAAATTTCAATTATTAAGTAATCAAAATATTTACACTAATTTATTTATTTTTGGGTTGGTAGTAACTAAGAGGAAATTGGGCAAACACATTCGTGAGTGATTTGTGTTTTGTTTTAATAAAACAACTCATTTGTTTTTTTTATTTTCTTTTATTTTATAGTGACTTTAAGCAAATACGAGGATCCTGCGAGTGAGTAAATTTCAAGTTTCGTTAATAAATTGAAATATTTATCGTCTTACTTTTTTTTCTTTTCTCATAGAAACTATTAAAGAGTGTGACGCAATAATAGGTGAGTAAATTCCACTTAATTGTTGTTTACATCAATCAAAATGTTTGTACTAAATTCGCTTTAATTTTGTAGAAAAGTTGACACTCGCTGATAATGTTATAAGTGAGTAATTTCACTCTTTATTATGAAAATTTTGTGGGTAATTTTTTTTTTGTTTTTTCGTAGAAAACATATTGGTATCTTTGAAACCAAAGAGTGAGTAAATTTCATGATTATTGTACGTATTTCTACTAATTTATCGTTTCAGTTTTAACTGTGAGTGCGAAGACTAAGAGATGTGAGTAAATTTAATGTTTATTTTTGCAATTAATAATAAAAAAAAATGGTCTTTTTTTCGTAAAGTATATTCGAGGGAATGTCTAAATCACGTTCATTATGTACTAAGATATGTGCACTCGGAAAAGATGTACGATATACTCGCTACAGATAGTGACGTTATAATGTACGGTGCATCTGATACGATTGAAAAACGCAAAACTTACTTATTGACGTGGCTCAATACGAAACAGCTGTGCAAGGCAGTCCATACACCGGGTAAGACAATTAGTTTTTTGTTTTCGTTCTTTAATTGTTTTCTTTTTTTGTTTCGTTTTCGTTTTTGTTTTAGAAGATAAAGTTGATGCGCTTTATTACAAGTCGAGACGTACTGTACGTCTCGGTGCGTTTCGATCGAATTACCCGATGTTCAAGATGAACCACGACGATGATGAGATGAGGACGTACGTTCTGGGACCGAACGGAACGGAAATTTCCGAATGCTGGATGAACCGGGTGCCGGTGCACTGCTACAAAGCGACGATTTGCTCTCTGATGAGTATCCTCTTCAATAAGAAAACTTGGGACTTGACCTGCGTGTACGGTTTGGACAGGAAGAAGGTCAACGATATTGTCGTCTGCGTGAGCGAAAACTACTCCGTCACGAGAGCGGCGGTGATGAAATGCATGAACGAACAGTGCAAGATCGTGTCGAAGTCTTTGATGAAGCAAGAGAGAAAAGTGCAAAAGCACTGATTCAATTTTTGACGATGAACGCAAATAATTGACTCAGTCTCATTCATTTTATATTTATATATCAATCAACGTTTTTAATTTACACTTGTTTTAATCAAGACTAACAGTTTTATACGATGCAATAAAAATATACAATTATCAATAAGTACACTAATCTGAAGCAAATATTTCAAATTTCCAACTGTGATATTTGTAGCGGTAATTTACGGTCAAATTGTTTTGAAATCTCCAAAATCGAGTGTATTTACAGATTATTAATTATCAATAAGTACTCTAATTTAACAAATATTCATAGAATTTACACTTTTTTCTTACTTGCAGCTCATTGGACGTTGGAGATGCGTACTGAAGGTACAAACAGTTTCATGTTGGTATAAAAAGGACGAAAAGCAAGTTTTTATCTTGTACCAGTCACAAGCCTACTATAGTTTTGAATTTTGAACTTAACCCAAAGCAGACTAAAATTTGAAATGGGTAAGTTTACACTTTCCATTAATATCATAATCTTTGTTATTTATTCTATATATTTTTCATTTGGATTTGGAATCAGTTCCTCAAATAAACGTAGATAACGAAGAAATGTTGCGTGAGGAAGCAATGGGACTAGTTCCTCAAGTAAACGTAGATAATGAAGAAATGTTGCGTGAGGAAGCAATGAGATTAGTTCCTCAAGTAAACGTAGATAATGAAGAAGTTTTGCGTGAGGAAGTAATGGAATCAGTTCCTGAAATAAACGTAGATAATGAAGAAATGTTGCGTGAGGAAGCAATGGGACTAGTTCCTCAAGTAAACGTAGATAATGAAGAAGTGTTGCATGAGGAAGCAAATGAATCAGTTCCTTAAATAAACGTAGATAACGAAGAAGTTTTGCGTGAGGAAGTAATGGAATCAGTTGCTCAAGTAAACGTAGATAATGAAGAAGTGTTGCATGAGGAAGCAATGGAACAAAGGGATGAAGTTACTGATGGCGAGGATACTGACGAAGAATAGATGGATATGTCTAGTTTCGGTTGAAACGGGAGTATGATACTCCCGGAGCAATTCCAGTCTATTAAATGGAATTGCTATAAAAGAGCAAAACGTACGTTGATGCAGGTGCTTTTTACCAGAAAAACTATGGCAACTCATAGCTTAACTGGAAAAGCCAGTATTGCTCTGCTTGACACCGGTAGAAAACCGAGACCGCAATTGAACATTGAATTGGTCGAGGACATCGTGAGCATCGTGATATGAAAAAATGTGATGTTCGCAGAAATGAAGTTCGTCAAGTTATAACTAGAAAATGTTCCGATGAGCGTAAGATGGCGAAGAAACGTGGAGAAATTTGAAGCTGGACAAACAAAATTTTACGAAATTCCATTGTATATTAGTAAACTTTTTCCCTGTCTTTTTTTTTATAAAAATAAACATAGATAATGAAACTTAGTCTTTTCTTTGTAATTTATACAGATTTTAAACACAATTACTCATTTCGTAAACGAAACAACAATAATAACTAAGAAACTATCCGAAGTTTTGTTTCAAATTCAAATTTTGAAAGTTTAATGCAAAAAAAGAGAACTTTGCAATTTTTGCACAGTTTGTCCGAAATGAATTGTGATTGTTATATCGATTTTTCTCAAAGGCTGTTAGAGAAAAAAAAACAGAAAATTTCGAAAACCGAATTCTTTGTCTCAAATGTAAATTATATATGTAATTCGTTTAAGAAGACTAAATGTTTGCTTACTTGAACTTTTATTTACAATAATTTTTCATAAACGAAGAAAAGTAATAAAATTTTGCATTATTTTTACCCTCCAATAAAAAAATTAATTTTATTACAGCAAACTTAGAATAAAAGTAATAAATCATTCATTTTATCTGCTTGGAAGTAAGAGACTAATTAATATTAGTTTTACAAGAAAAAAAATTAAAAAAAAAATTGAAAAATAATATTTGTAAAAATGAAAAAATTTGAAAAGCAAATCCGTTTTCTCAAAGAAGAATTCATGAAAAATATGTGCGATTGGTTTACTAAGACTAAACGTATTCTTATTTAAACTTTTGTTTCAAATAATTATTAATTATTCGTAATTGAAAAATTATTCTGAGAAAAAGTCGGAAAATTTCACAAATTTTTATGTAATAAATCATTCTAATCATTCATTTTATTTGTTTCTAGGTAAGAGATTAATTAATATTATTATTATAAATAAAAATTTGGAAAAAAAATATACATTGCAAATAATAGGAGACGTGCGATTATTTAATTAATTTCAGTAATCCGAACGTTTGAAACTACCACTCTTTTTTATGTTCATGCCTTCTTTTCTCTTCATTTTGAAGAAATCCTCCAGTAGATAACACAACTATAGCCAATGAAATTTTAACTTATAATAATTATTGCTGGGAATAATATATAAAAAACATAGAAAATACAATAGATACCTTTATAAATATCTTTAAAATAATAATAATAAAAAACATATGAAGAATTTCATTTAAAATAGATTTTATTTATTAAAAACATAGAAAATACAATAGAAACCTTTATAAATATATTTAAAAACATGTTTCAATTATTTTATATACAATATTATTATAAACACATTACCTCATAAATATCTTTAAATCTCATTCATTTTACGTTTCTTATACATTTTGTGCTCGTCGGCACATTTATGCGTGATTACGTGGCGAATCAAAGAAATCTCTTTGACCTTGCATTTCTTTGCAACTGTGAAAACTACATCATCTATTATTTCAGCGTCCAACTGTGGTTTCGGCGGTAAATTCCTTTCAGGTTATTGTTGCACTTTCCCTGATTAAAGTGCGTGGCCAAGGTTTCTCTCGAGAATAAAGCCATCAACATGTCATGAGTCGCTTTTCTGTAGCTATACCATCTGATCGAATTGTATTTTCGCGCTGATATCGCACT